ACCTCTCATTGACGGTGGAGCAAAGATTTCACACTACATCGTAGAAAAGCGAGAGGAGGCTAGGAAGGCATTTTCAAGCATCTGTAGCAACTGTGTGAGAAACTCATACAAGATTGACAATCTCCAGGAAGGATGTTTCTATTATTTCCGTGTCCTTGCTGTGAATGATTTTGGGGCTGGACTGCCAGTAGAGACCACTGAGGCTGTTAAAGTGTCTGAAGCTCCACTGCCTCCTGGCAAAATCACTCTCAGTGATGTTACTTGCAATAATGCAAGACTCTCTTGGGAGAAGCCTGACCATGATGGAGGAAGCAAAATCACGTGTTATATTGTAGAAATGCAGATTAAGGGAGATGACACATGGACAATATGTTCAGAGAGTAAAGCACAGGAAGTGACTATTAATGGGCTGGAAAAAGGAAAGGAGTATTTCTTTAGAGTAAGTGCTTTGAATGAAAAGGGAAAAAGTGAACCAAAGTCTCTTTTCGCACCAGTTACAGTAAATGATAATAGGGCTGAGCCCATTATTAATTTGCTGTCCAACACATTCAGTGTGAGGGCAGGAAATGATTTAAAAATCGATGTTCCATTCAAGGGTGTACCACTGCCAACAGTGGCCTGGAAGAAAGATGGCAACTTGATAAAAGAGACGAGCAGGGTAAATGTACACACATCTGACACATCATCTCAGATTATTATCAAAGATGCAACCAGAATAGACTGTGGCAAGTATGAGATGACCCTGGTCAACTCAGTTGGAACGACAACTGCTGAAATCTTTGTTAATGTTTTTGAAAGACCTGGACCACCAAGTGACCTCAGTGTGGATGAAGTGAGTGCTGATTTTATGTCTTTGTCATGGCAGCCCCCACATTATACTGGCGGATGTCAAATCAGTAATTATGTTGTTGAGAAGAGAGATACAGGCAGCACAGTATGGCAGACTGTGTCAGCTACAGTGGCTAGAACATCAATCAAAATTTCCCGCCTGACACAGGGCACTGAATACCAGTTTCGTATTGCTGCAGAGAATCGCTATGGCAAGAGCCACTTTGTTGAGTCTGAGCCCGTTGTTGCCCAGTATCCCTTTAAGCCGCCTGGTCCGCCAACCAATCTCCGTGTTGTGAATGCCTCAAAGTCCGTCATGGTAGTTGCATGGAGCAAGCCAGACAATGATGGTGGCAGCCCGATTATTGGTTATCATATTGAATGCAAAGATCAAAGCAGTATTTTGTGGACAAAGTTAAACAGAAGCCCAGTGACTGAGAACCAGTTCAAAGTAACAAGTGTTGAAGAAGGTCTGATATATGAGTTTCGGGTCTCTGCTGAGAATAGGGCTGGTATAGGACCATGCAGTAAGGCATCCGAGCCTGTAGCGGCAAGAGACCAGTGCGATCCCCCACGCAACCTCACAGTCACCAATATAACCAACAGCTCAGTTTCCCTCTCATGGGACAAACCAGAATATGATGGTGGGGCTAAAATAACTGGCTACATTGTTGAGCGTAAAGAGCTGCCAGATAGTTGCTGGCTAAAGTGCAACTTCACCAACTTACAGGACACCTTCTTGGAAGTGACTGGCCTCACAGAGGGTGAGGAGTATGATTTTCGTGTGATTGCAAAAAATGCAGCTGAGCTCTTTAGTGCCTCTTCTGAAACCACAGGACCAGTTACAGTGCAGCATAACGTGGAGCCACCCAAAATTATCTTGGAAGACAAATACAGACAGGTGTTGGTTGTCAAAGCAGGAGAGCTCCTAAGAATAGATGCTGACATCTCCGGTCGCCCCAACCCTACAGTGTTTTGGTTGAAGAATGGTAGAAATATTGGCACTAAGGGAAGGGTTGAGATAACTGCAACAAAGGTGCATACCTCTCTACTTATCCGAGAAAGTGTGAGGAAAGACTCTGGACAGTATACTCTGACCCTACAAAATACAGGGGGTACTACATCTAAGGCTATCACCTGCAAGGTCCTGGACAGGCCCGGTCCACCCGCTGGACCACTGGAAGTGTCGGGATTATCAGCAGACAAATGCACCCTATCATGGGGACCCCCTCATGAGAATGGCGGTGCTGAAATCATGTACTATATTGTTGAGAAGTGTGAAACCAGCCGCGTAGCTTGGATCCTTGTGTACGGTGACATGATGGCAACTACTTGCAAAATAACCAAGCTGCTCAAAGGTAATGAATACCTTTTTAGGATAAGGGCAGTGAACAAGTATGGGGAAGGTGAGAATTTGGAAAGTGAGCCTATCAAGGCCATGGATCCCTTTAGTATCCCATCTGCTCCGATGGATGTTGAGGTCACAAGTGCAACAAGTGATGCTATGACTATCTGCTGGAAGAGACCTGTCACTGATGGCGGCAGTCGTATCAGCGGTTACATTATAGAGAAGAGGGAAAAGCAGGGTGTTCGCTGGGTTCGTGTCAATAAGAAACCAGTCTATGACCTACGTGTCAAAGCCTCCTGTCTGCACGAGGGATGCGAGTATGAATTTAGAGTTTTTGCTGAGAATGCTGCTGGGTTAAGTGAACCCAGTCTTCCATGCCCACTCACCCTGGCAGAGGATCCAAAGTTTCTACCTTGCCCTCCTGCCAAACCCACCATAATGGATTCATCCAGGTCCTCTATCACTCTGTCATGGAACAAGCCGCTGTTTGATGGTGGAGCAGCAGTCACTGGGTACAAAGTTGAATTCAGAAAGTCATCAGAAGAAGACTGGACTGTTGGTGTGTATAACACAGATAAAACTGAGTTTACAGTTACTGGACTCACTTCTGGGACAGAGTATGTGTTTATTGTGAGATCCATAAATAAGATTGGCATCAGCGAGCCCAGTCCTGAAACAGATCCTCAGGTGGCCATGGAGAGAGAGGAGGAGCCCAGGTTTAATGTTAGCACCGAGATGAGGAAGACCCTGCTTGTTAAAGATGGCAGCTCCTTCACTTTGACTGTGCCTTTCACAGGCAAACCTGTTCCTAGTGTGACATGGGATAAAGCAGATGTAGATCTGAGAGTCAGAGGACTGATCAACACCAGCAGCTCCGTCACCTCTATTACAGTGGAAGGGGCAACACGTGATGACTCTGGCAAATACACTGTGAAACTGCAAAATGTTGCTGGATCGGTCTCTTTGACACTGAAGGTGAGGGTTTTGGATTCACCTGGTCCACCAACTCATGTAGCAGTTAAAGATGTGACCAAGAACTCTGCCACTGTTTCCTGGGACATCCCAGAGAATGAGGGAGGAGCCCCTGTCAACAACTACCTTGTAGATATACGGGACATCAGCAGAAAAGGGTGGACAAGACTCACGGATAAATGTCGCCGACTGTCCTACAAGGTGTCTGACCTGGAGGAGGGAGGAATCTACTTTTTCAGAGTCACCGCCGAAAATGAGTATGGGATCGGTGTTCCATCTGAGACCAAGGAGGGAACAAAAATGACAGGTACAATCTGTTAAGAATAAACACGTTAAAAGTTGTTATATTTAGTAGGAATTAAATTACTTCTGTGATGAGATTAGTGGCCAAGTAGGATGTAAAAGAAATGTAGGGAATGGTTAGATATAAACTACAAACAAAAAGCGAGGAAATTTGTGTTTGGTAGACTATTTCTTTGTTGTAACAATGCTTGTTGGCAATAAATCTTATATCACCGGGAAGCCTGTTTATTTTCCTTTTAAATGGTGCCACATTTGTAAGGAACATGCATTTGTGGAACGAGCAGCAGAGTCGAGTATGTGGGTTGCGCTCATGAAAAATATGCCAAATCTTCTCTGACAATGCCAAACAGCTCTACCAAACACAAATCTCCTTAGCACTTAAGACTTCCTACCCGTTTCACTCATTATTCTGGGTCCTGCATTGAGAGTAATTCAGTGTTTTATATTTGTTTTTAAATTTCAGATACAACAGACTGGGAGACAAATCCAGGAGCTTAGGTCGTCTCCCTCTCAAGCGTTGAACTGATCATTTCCTGATCTTTCTGTGAAGATCCTCCTCTATTTCTCATCTTCATCCAGTGTTGTTCAGAAAAATCAGTTAGCGAATGTAAATTGATACTTTGCCTGAAGCTGCGGTTTTGTAGATTTATGATTACGTTTCTTTTCTAAATGTTTGTGTACTAGTATGCCTTATTAAAAGATTGTTTATAGAAGAAAATGCATTGATGCACTGATTTTAGTTCAGAAATAATAACTAAAAAATGGTGCTGTTTGTTGTAAATTAACAATAAAATGAAAATTATTTACAGATTATTTACAGTTATTTGAGTTTTAATTTATTATGGAAAGTTGTAAACTTCCACCACTAGATGGCATGAGACAAGATTAATGATCAGTTTAAACAAAACAAACAGCAAATATAGAAAGATATAGTTTTGTACTATAAAATGACTTCATTTGAGTATTTCCGTTTTGTATATTATATTTTATACACTACAATAGTAAGTGACATTAATACTGTGACTTTAGAGTTCTTTGCACACCACCTGGCCCTCCTGCAAATAGGGTTATATTTTACTTTTTTACAGCTTACTGCCAATTATGGGCTAAACTTAGCCTAAAACTATTAGTAAAATGGAATATATTTTGCTGGAACCTTTTTATATTGTGGTACACTGAAGTAGTTAAACGATGGGATGGTGGGCACTTTTGGTAGGCCTACTACATGTATACTGTGATTCAACGTCACCAGTTTGATTCCATCCAGGACCCTTTGCAGTTGCACAATATTCAGCCGCTTTCTCCCCTCTTGTTTCCTGTCACCTCTCAACCATTTGTTACAAAGGCAACAAATTGCCCCCACCCCCACCAAGACGGACAAGCAACGTGGAAGCAAAATGTTTACTGTGTCAAATGGTCAAAATAAATACACAGGTTTGCCCCATTTACCACCTGTTGGTTGTTGCTGTTGTTTGGTAACGATAGGAGATTGTTTGTACGTACGTCAGTATGGAAACAGTTACGTGGCTAAATACAGGAAAGGGAATCCAATTACCAGCCATCTACCGGAAGTAAGCGCTGCAAAACTCACTACTTGTCTAGTAGTTCGGTGTTTACAACAACAAAAGTACAATTTCGAGTCGATAGTTTCAAGATGGGTACTACGGCAAGTCAACTTGGGAAGGATTTGCTCTCAGAATATCAAGTAAGTGCCCAAAAGCAAAGTATCCGAAAGCAAAATGATATCGTTAACCGAGTGGCTGAAGTTGAGAACAGTATTGTTAGTTGTTACGCCCGTTATAACCACGGGCACCGTCGTGGCTATTTTAACGCTTTAATGCAAATGAAAATAGGGCCTGGTCATCAGAAGTACATTGTGATTTACTTGTGGTGTGTAGTTGTAGTTTCTCCTATAGTGACGTTAAACATAATAATGGCAATTTATAGAACTAATGTTACCGCTTGTGATCACGCGTATTAAGACAGTGAAAGCTAATGTTGCTAATCTCATTTAACAGTTAGTCAAACCATGAATGTATAATAGGAAGTCAGACTTATAAAACTAACACTAACGTGGTGAAGTTACAGTTTCATTTTAATCTAATATACTTTCTTTTACTTTTAGGAGCTGACATTCTTGACAAAACAAGAAATTCTCCTGTAAGTGATCAGCTGCGTGCCAGATTAACGTTACTATCTTTTAAAAAAAAGCATTTTAATCGATCTAGCAGCACATACTGCGATCCGTCTTTAAGCTATTTTTGTTGTTTTTTTAAGTGCTCACAAGAGATTCGCTGAACTGCTCACGAAAGATGAGAAAGGCCTTCCAAATGCCAGAGTACCGATGGAGAGGATTCTAACTCTGCCAGAGCTAAAGGTGAAAAGCTATTTTACAGTAAAACAGAGATGTGGTGTTATGTGGACTGCTCACTGGTCGGTCTCATCGTACACCTGGGATCGTCCTGTGCTTTGTGTGTTGTGGAGGGAGCGCCTCAAGTACTGATAAACTGTTCTGACCCATGTTTTTTTTAATTTTATCTTTTTTTTATCTCCCTGTTGCTTTTATGTTTTATGTAAAGCACTTTGAATTACCTTGTTGTTGACATGTGTTATACTAATAAACTTGCCTTGCCACGTACTTGCTCCTGTCTCAGTCCAACCCATTCAGGAAAAGAATCTGCCATGTGTTCTCAACATCGGAACACAAAGATGGGAGCCTCACATTTGAGGACTTTCTGGACCTCCTGAGTGCCTTCAGCGACTCTGCTACTCTGGAAATCAAATCCCACTATGCATTCCGTATATTTGGTAAATAAGATGATAGAAATCAGCTGGTTTTAATAATACATCTCATCTCAGGCTCTCAATCAGTGGATTAAGCATTTTGATGTTTTCAGACTTTGACGACGATGGGACTCTTGATGTTGTTGATCTGGAGAAGCTGGTTAACTGCCTGACCGGTGAGACAGATGACACGAGACTAACACCCGACGAAATGAGACAGCTCATCAGCAATGTGAGTTCACTGAGGCTCTGACGAACACTTGATGATGAAAACAGCTTGACCGTTCGCAGGTTGGTACACTTATGCGTCAGGGGGCTTTACATTTGTTTCCATGGCATGTTTTGTAGATTCTCGAAGAGTCGGACATTGACAAGGATGGAACTGTGAACCTCTCGGAGTTCCAGCATGTCATTTCAAGGTCGCCAGATTTTGTCAGGTGAGTGATAATCGCAGTTATCAATGATATGTACTTTAATCACCAGCATTTTGTTCACTTTAACTAATTAGTTCTGATTTCTCCACAGTTCTTTCAAGATTGTGCTGTGAAGACCTGTGGTGGGCTGTGGAAATGCATCCCCCTTTAACTCTCATATGGTGTTTAATTTTCAATTAGAACAATTTTAGGGATTTGCCTTAAATTATATTTACCTGTGGATTTTACTACATTAACTGTTTTATGTATTGTTTGTGTAATATAAAGCCTGTGATTTTTTTAAAAATTAAAAAAATATTTCCAAAAACTACTCATTTACATTTTTATACAGACAAATGAAAAAAGAAAGTAACATTTGTGTATATATGTATTGTATGTGACCTGTGATTGACTGGCGACCTGTCCAGGGTGTACCCCGCCTTTCGCCCAATGTCAGCTGGGATTGGCTCCAGCCCCCCACGACCTTGTACGAAGTCCAGCAATTTATATTTTTAAGACCGAGCTACTTCCTCCTTGACGACAGCAGCAAAAGTGTTCCATGCCCCGCACACAACATCAACCACACGCATCTGCTGCTCCCTGAAGAACTCCACAAGCTGGGGCTCATCTGAACTCATTAAAGTCTGGTGTCCAAGTTGGCCGTAGTCACCTGAAATGGTAATAGAAGGAAAGATGGAGTTCAACATATATCTGAAATGTGATCTAAGATTGCTGATTAATTAACTGGTACTGGGAACATGCTACAAAAGATGCAACAGATGAAAAATCTGTTTAGGTATCAGTTTATCTCCAAATTCAAACTTACCCCAGCCCCAAGTGTAGAGGTCACCTGTGGCTGAAATTAGAAATTATGAGATATAGGTGACATTGACTTGCCAAATAATTTGCATCAATATAGACCCACTGTCATGTGAGGTTTCTTACTCGTTACTGCAGCTGTGTGGCGGCAGCCACAGCTGACTGTGCTGATCTCACATGATGGAGTGATATCCAGCAGAGCCGGGAATGCTTGGATTGATATGAATACATCTTCATGTTTCTCTCCCTCTTGTGGCTCTTCATGGGGAGATGTGCTGGCATCTTTGCATGGTGCTCCTGTTCAATGTAGTTAATGTTGCAGTTTTTACGATTTACTACAACATAAGTAACTAAGCGACTACTATCAGCATCATACCTTGCAACATATGAAATAAGTTAAGGGGGTGGTTCTTCAGTGAACATACATTTACACCATACACTTAAAAGGTTTGTGAATATGCAAATATTTTGAGCTCACCTAGTAAGTACAATAAAGCTTGATGGAATACATTTGGAAAAACCTGACTGATGTCTCTTTTCAGATATAATGACAGTGGATCCACAGGCCTAATGGTGAAACAGTTTTTTCCCCTCATTGTTCACTTGGCAAGAATCCTTTATAGATGCTGTAGAAAATGTCCATACTGAAGCATGGAGTATGGTAACTGTCATATATGCCACACAGAAAACAAAGCAGCTTAGAGTGATGTACTGGGGTACATTAAGATCTCAGCTAATTTCAAAGTATTTGGATTGACAGATACAAAATATGAGTTTGTCCTTTTTACTGTATATGTTAAATAGGCAAACAGATTTACCTGCTTGTTGGCTACTTTGCTGCTGCAGTGCTTTCCTCAGACCTCGTGAGGGAAGTCCGAGCTGGCCACTTTCATTCCAGCCCCACACATAAAGGTCACCCCCATCTGGAGAAAAGGTCATTTGATTTCTCAAGTAGAGGGCATAACTTTTTTTCACTGCCAACACTTTGTATGCCACTTACCACTAATGCAGACAGAATGCCAACCTCCTGTAGCTACATGGCTCATGGGCATTCCCCAGAGTGCCTCCACTGCCCTGGGCTCCTCCTCAGAGGTAAGGTCTCCGTGCCCCAACTGACCATGGCTGTCGAATTAAAATGCACAAAATCTAAAGATGTGCTTGATGTTGTTATTGCTAAGATTCCCAATAAAGACATGCAACATGCGAGTATGAGGTATACCTGCCCAGTCCCCAGGTGTACACAGCTCCAGAGGCACTGAGAAGGATGGCATGCTCTGCACTCAGTGCCAGACTCTTGGCTTTCAGGTGTGGCGATAAGGAGCGGTAGAAGGGAGGTTTCGTGGCTATGTAACCCCCAGGGACCAATGGGAGATTCATAGGGGGTCCTGGGAAAGCAGCAGTAAGTTTCCTGTTCAGCCAATTATCACAACCTACTTCTAGTAGCTGCCAAAGGAGATTTGGATATACATTACCAGAGCTCTCTGTTTTTACTTCCATGCTCCATGATGCACTCTTCTCTTTCGTCTGCAGATCCCAGGACTCAATTCTGTCCGGGAAAGCGAGGGTCAGGTACAACTCACTGATGTAGGCATCTTTACAGCCACGGCTCTCTTTCACAGAAATACCACAGGACTCATTGGAGATGAGTGCCCCAAAACCAGCTAGGCACACACAGCTGTCACCTGCATTAACAGAGAGTAAGATGAATGCGGGAGTTAATACCTAAGTATTGTGATATTATACACTGTTATATTACATGTCATAAGAGTGTCCAACCAGAGCTGTTAACGCTGCTTGCTTTATCTCTGGTGCAGTTTATTTTACCATCTAAATGCAAAGATGCTCTTCGACTCCAACTTGCTCTAATTTGACCATCAGTCTTCAAGCGGCAGCCGCGTCTGTCCGCATGGCTAGCTAACGTTAGCTCTGTCGGGCTAATCACTTTGACAGCGTCGCTACACTGTCCTTTAATTAATTTCTCATGGACACATATCTGTCCAAATGCGTTGAAGCCAAACCCGAACCACCGCATTGGAAGCGCTTTAACTCAGTTTGCTGTCTCATGGAAACGCCGCTCAGCCGTTCAACGCAGTTGCCCGCAGTTACAACACGGTTAAGTTTGGTACCGTAGTTGCGCATGCGCTCCTGTCTTTCTGCAAGGACTCGACAGCGAACATAGTGAATTCTGTAAGGACGTGACAATGTCATTTGGATAAGTTTTATTTTTCTGCCAGTTCAGTCAAAAATCCACCAACCATGCAATTAAGACACTGGAAATTTAGTGGAGGGATATTAATAGTTTTGATAATAAACATTAAAAACAAAAAGCAAAGAAGGAACGTGTGAATGTAAGGTTTGCATTTTGACACATGATGCGTTTAGGGTAAAATATTACAAAGAATGAATACAGTAGTGTATAAATGTATTTTGTGGAATAATGACAAATGAAAACGGTTGGAAAATACCAAGGAATTGTAAGCTTTAGTAAAGAATGTATAGAGTAGCCTTATTTGTCTCCAAGTGGAACATACACTATTGGTACAGTATAATTAGGATAAATACAATCAGTGGGAAAGCAATGTGAAACAGCAACAAAAGCTCATTTGTCACAAAACACGTCTGAGTGTATCTGCTGGTTTTCATATAATCCCTTTCTTCATTAATTTATATTGCTTTTCACAGGTTTTGGTTAAGACACATGAGCATTTCAGTATGCGCTTTTACCATTCAAACCAAAACTGATTTTCTGCTAAAGTGAAATGATTTCACTGGTCCCACATAATACTCAAACACAGCCAGAAGGCACATCCACAAGCTGCAGTGGCGTATTCAGGGTTCAGTTCCTTTGCCCCTTTCCTTCCCATCCCTGGTCCTGATGATGTCGTACTCCACGGCCTTGTCCAGACAGTTCTGAGCTATCTTAGAAACAGCTTCCGGTGTGCCCTCTCCTCCCTTTGCCAAGACAGAAAGAATCTCCAGAACTTCACTCTCCATGAGCATCTCAGCCAGACTCTTCTCCGCCTGCATCATGTTTAGAACTATGACTACTCCACGATGACGCAGGTCGGATATTTCAGCGAGCAACAGCGCTTGTACAATCTCTAGCCAGTGGGTCGTCTGAGAAGAGAGGAAAAATTAATCTTTTTAGTATGCGACAGTGCCGAGTTGATGGATGTGTGGGGACAGCGAACTGCTTACTGTTCCAGGGATGCGGGCGCAGAGCTCTGGCTGCTCAGCGGTCAGCATGGCCAGAGTTCCCGCAGCAGCTTTTCTCAGCCTCTCGTCGTCCTCTCCGCTGTAGAGCACAAGCAGCTTCAGGCGATCGTTCCCTGTGGCCAGGTACAGCTTCTGCACCTGAGGACACACCCGATGCTTTTACTTTTCAGCATATTTGTGCCATACAACATTTATGAATGCGTGTCTTACCTCTGTGCTTAAAACCAAATTACACATGCACTCTGTGGCAGAAGCTCGGACCAGGTCATGCTCCTCAAACATATAGCCTTCAATTTTTGGGACTGCCTTCTCTTTTATGATCTTTTGTCTGTGAAACATATACACATAGAATGAACGATACATTCTGAAAGGAAGTGAAAACTTGAGACTTGATGTGCATTTTGTTTATCAGTTGAGACTTGGGATTGCCCCCAAAAGTCCTGGTAAGAATATTTACACAGCTTTTTAAATTTTTAGGATCCTGCCGGTTAGGGTTACTTAAATGAAGTGTCATAAAAATGACACATCTGTGACTACATTTATGAAATTCTTTCTTTGAGGAAAGTACGTTTGTCAGATGTACACAAGGAAAAACTAAAGAAATACTGAGGTCTGGTTTCCGTAAACAAGACTGAGTATTTTGAACATGTATTTTTATTCTTAGGAGAGACTTCCCCCTAGTGGCCAACCTGAGTCTATCACTGATGCCGGCCAGGTTGGTGAGAGCCATGAGCGCCTCGAAGTTCTGCAGGAGGGTGCATTCAAGATTCAGAAGACTGACAAGGGGACGCACCACCTCATAGATCTGACAACAAAAAGTCAGACATGGTTCAGTAGGATTTCTTTAGGGTTTTTTTGTGCCAAAGATGATTTTTACAGCGTGCTATTCTCACCCTTTCTCCTGGGAAGGCAATCACTGGATTAGATGTGATGGTTATTTTTGCCAATGCTTGTGCTGCTTTGATTTTACCGACATCTGTGTTGTCCGATGCCAGTGGGATCAAAGCCTGTGGTGGAAAACAGTTCACATAAAATCATGTAAACCTCCTAAAGCAAGGTGTTTAGATGGGTGTTCAGTGTGTAGACTAAACTTATATTTATCAGTGAGCTGTACCTTTCCTCCACCCTGTGCCACCACTGTGCCTCTGTCTTCCTGTCGTTCCACCAAAGCCAAGAACACCCTGCCGTGAGAAATGGCATTAATAGAAAGTCTATAGAGAGAACAGTGAGTGGAAATGACTTACTGCCATTTTCCTACCTGGCGATACACTCCCTACAAGCCTCAGTGAGGGCAGGACTCTCCTGTTTGACCATACACACCAACGCAGACACCACACCAGCCTCCAGCAGCTTCACTAGTCTTTTCTCGACATATGAAGGTGCATCCTGACACATAACAAGACAGGTTCATGTAAAACCGCCAATATTTAAAGTACTAAAAGGAATATTGTGTGATGTTTTCTCTATATGAAAAAAGGACAATTTAAATGGTACCTTGGGGTGCTCCTCAGGCACATGCTGTTTTGCATACTTTGCCAGCTCCACCATCTGTGGGTCTGGCTTCTCCACATCATAGCTGTTGGTGCAATTCACTAATGTGGAGCCCACAGCAAACAGCACCGTCTTATCCTCAGACTGCAGGAACAAAGAAAAACCCAGGTTGTCAAAACTATCCCAGTCAACACTATAAAAACATTTGTGTGTTTTCAAATACCAAAGAAAAATAAATATCAGAACAACCACTAAGAAGCTCTTGTGCGAGGAATCTTGACTTTATAATTGCCCTGTATTGTCTACTACTAAAAGTACTAAAACCTACAATTACAATCAGCAATCAAACCTTTGCTAGTTCAAACATAGCCAGGAGAGCCTTCTTGTCTTCTACTAAGTCCTCCTTCACATCAGCATCAAAGGTGAGGTAGGCCAGGCCTTCCACAGACCACCGGCGGGAGGTTGCAGGCAGAGACTCATTACACAGCCACCTAAAAGAGAAAGAGATACAGCTTGCTTCTTATTTCAAATCCAAGAAACCACTCATTATCTGTTGTTAATCAGGTTATATAACAGTGAGGATCAGGCACGACACATTTCTCTTAATCTATACCCAGGTTCAATATTCAACACGGGGCAAACTTACTTCCTGCACTGCTTGGCGAGCTTTAGCGTGGATCCCTCAGCAAACTGTTTCATGCTGAAATCTGTCCCCCCCGCTGATCCAAGCTTGCACAAACCCTGTGTATCAGAATCCAAAGTTAATTTATCTTTATTTAGACGTGTTCTCTTCTCCAACTGTCTGAAATAAATATACTTGCTTGGATGCAGCACTCACCACCAGGGCTCTCACACGTATCCTGTCATTCTCGCTCTTCTTATAGAGGTCCTTCAGAAGTGCCACACCGTTGGCTGTGATGAACGAGGCTCTCTTGGCCTTGCCTGCAGCATGGATAAGAGCCTCCACAGCTATCTGCTGGTGAGTGACATCTTCGGAGGCACACAGAGAGATCACTGCATCAATCATTCCTGACATCTCCAGAGTTCTGTTACCCACGTCGCTCGGTCCTTGGAGGAGTACCGATACTGTCTGGATGGCTCGCAGTTTGGCATCTAGGTCAGTTCGGCTAAAGTGTTGCCTACCCAGAAAAATGAAATGAATGAAAGAATGCCCCTTTTTTATAGCCTGTAGTAACTTTTTTTTTTTTCCATGTTCATATTTTATTGCAGTATTAAGCAGCTCAAGGGGAATTACTAACACACATTTCAGTGGTCAACTCACTGTACATATTCTTCACAAAGTTTGTTGAAGTTCTCCCTCTCTTTGTCACCATTTAAGTCATCGTAAAGTTTGTTAAGCAAGACTGAGCAGCTCATGTGGGAGTTGTCGGTAAGAGGTGGTCCTCCTGAGAGCTCAGGGACTGTTCCGGCCACCTCCAGGATTTTCTTCAGTCCTGCAGGAGTACAAGGAGTTCATTAATGTGGCTGCAGCAATGCCAGATAAAACTGGTGACAGAATGTTTGAAGCTGAGGCCATTGGCAAATTTCATTTGACATTTGGAAACAAACACTTTCTTCTCCTTCCCATGGTGGCACAACTACACAAAAAAAATTAAATGGTTTGGCATAAGTCATTTTGTATCTATCATAGCAAATGAATTCAAAAGATTTTACATTATATGCAGGTGTGTTTCATACCCTGGTCTATAACCCACAACGTGAGAGAGTTATCTGGGTTTTTTAAGGACTTGCGAGGAACTTGTTTGACCAGGAGGTTGATGGCGCTGTCTCTGCCCGGCCCCGACACATTAGATGCTGGCATCATTTCCAAGAGGTGGCGTAACATTGAGCGTAGCTCCTTAGAGGGTTCTGTGTCAAAGTCATACAGTCATTTACAGTTGAGCACATGACATAAAGGTGATGCACACACAGAAAGGCATTTGTTATAGGTCAACTTTCATGTGTAGCCAAATGCAAATACAAACATGATCAGAGCCCAGACTCACCAGGAAGTATGGCTTCATCTTTCCCTCTGATCTCTCTTTTCATGCCCTCCGTCAGAGCCTCAAACATCACCTGCAGCAGGTGGCAGGCAGCCAGAGACACAGTGGCGGCTCCTGATCCCATTACTGCACACAGCTGCTCCATTCCCAGCTCATTCACTATAGCCATAGCCTGGGAATAAAGTGGATGTCAGTAATAAAAAGCAGCAAAGCAATTGATAAGAGTTATTGGCATGGTGAATTCTGTCTCCTGGCAGACATAGCTATAGATATATAAATATCTGCTGATACACTGTGCAACAACATATTTAACAATGAATGGAGACAGAAATGTATCATAATTAAAAAGGAATAAAATACAAATAAGAGGGCCAATGGGGCTTTTTTTCTATCTTTATTTAATAATTTTAGGAGTATGACCT